CAGTGAGTCAGTGAGTTACACAAGCGTCCCGTTAAAGTATGTGCACTGGTGGTCTGATTCACCCTGTATATAGAGGTATGTAGCAAAAATTTACATATAAATTTCATGTTTAGATCTCCCACCCTCTGAGGTGTCCCATGTAGACATCGTAGACTCTGGTTTAGAAGTGTTAGACGACCTCGGTGCCAGTGTGGAGGCGCTGAGGCTGGTCACCAACAAAATCATCTACCTCACCAACAACTCCCTGACGTTAGTATACAACACCTTTTTAACCTTTAGGCTGTACATACAAATAATAATATGCTGGAAACCGCTTAAAAAAGTTTACAATACCTGCATATAGCAATCCTTAGTTGCTTTAGGGGCAACTAGTTTCGGTTCATGATCTGGACCATCATCAACACAAATAGCGATGTTTTAAAATTATTTTGTTGACGTCAAGAGAGTTTAATAATCAACAAACACACGAGATAAGGAAACATTAAACAGCCATACTTAAAGAAACACGTAATGAATAAATAAACATTGAGATAAGTGAAGTGACCGGACTGAAGCATTATAATTGTTGATCTAGACAAGAATTACAATTGTATTTGCAGGTATTGTTGGCTATTTTAAGTATAATGCAGTAATTTGGAAGCTAAAAAGGTTTGATTTTAAAATGGAGAAAACTTTGTTCTAATTTTACAATTTGGCTACTCGTTTTAACTATATAACTTATTATGTTGATAGGTCAAATAGTTGTATCTACTTATAGAGTACAGCTTATACTATTTTAGTTCGTAGTTCGTAACTCACTGCTCATTATTCATTTTGTTTAATGTACTATAATAGAGCGATGATCATTTACTAATTATTTGTTCAGTAACTTTTACCAAGAAGGTGTCTTGCAGCATAAAAGTTTTACAATTTCAGAGACGTGCTATTCTATGTGTTACAATGTGAGCCCAGGTTGAGACCCCACCAATCACATTTATATGTCGATGTTTGATTTTTTGTAATGCCATAAGCCCAAAATTTGTTTGGTAAACCCGATCAACTGCCTTCCACCACATATGATTGTTAATTAATTGTTTCCTCTGTTAACAGGAGTATGTCGTCCACTTTGAGGACCTTGGACCTTAGCCATAATCAGCTGCAGGAGGTACCTTTGGGGGCGTTGTGCTCACTTACTGGTCTCTATTGGATCAATCTGTTTGGGTATGTTTGAACTTATAACTATTACTGTTACATATATTTCAGATAGCATATGATACCTGAAATTCACCGACAAAATGTATAGTCGAAATTGCTGAGGAGAAGCCCCAAATACTGATCCAGATAGAAATATGACCGACTCTTATCCATATTTCTCTTTTAGGTTTTTAAAATCTGAATTTATTCAATACAACGATATTCATCTAAAGCAATTTCTTAAAGTGAGACCAGCCATTTGATGTATCACTAGGGGGTATATATTGTAAAATTGTGTACCCGACAGTAGTATGTTTTCTGTGACCCGACTCACCTACGAAGAAATGTTGAACATATTGAGTCTTTGTTACAATCCCATTACAGAAACGGTAATAATGCATTTGGAAGAAATACAAATAGTGAAAGAAATACTCAGTAATAATAAATTGTTATCAAAAGTATGAACTAGTAAAGTTAATTCGGTACAGTCACTTATATTGGTGCAGAGAACAAAAAAATTACTATTAAAAAAATATATATATAATCGTATATTCGCTTTTGCTTGCGTTTGTTTTTAATCTAATCTTTTGTTGCTATTGTTAAAATATTTTTTACAATTATTACATGATTTTTTGAATATACCGAACGGGTAAATATTTTAAATAGATGTTCAAGAAAATCTGAGATTCATCTATGCTAACTACTGGCTAAATGATGACGAAAAGATTTACTAATGACGAAAATCAAATGCTGTTCCAGAAACTCCATCACTGGTCTGCCTCGACAGTGGTGTCTTCTATCGTCAACCCTGACGAACCTTTTCTTGGGGGAGAACGATCTACACGAACTGGACTTCTCTCTACGTAATCTAACTCACCTGGAGTGGATAACCTTGGACCACAACAAGCTGAGGTCGGTCCAGCGAGGAAGTCTACCAGTCTCTCTACACACGTTGAGTGTTCAGCATAACCTACTTGCAGACATTCCAGTGCGGACAGTGGATCAGATGACCAACCTGGCAAGACTATTTCTACGCGGGAACGCCATCAGTAGAATACCTCCGTACTCCTTCAGAAAGAAGAAGATGTTGGACAAACTGGACCTTGGCGAAAACAGGTTGACCGATCTGCCATCGACGTGGTTCAACAACTCTATCACCATAAGAGACCTTAATTTGGAGTTTAACAATATAAAACTACTACGAGATTACACTTTCAGAAGCTTGAACCTAGGAAGAGTTGTTTTAGGACACAACAGACTCACGAATATAAGTGGGAACGTGTTTGCAGGACTAGAAGACAGTTTGGAGTACGTTGACTTGGAGGGAAACATGATCGAATCAATCGCAAATGTATTTACTCGGTTGAGAGTGTTGAAGTTTTTATATTTGGCGAACAATAAAATTTCAAGACTACAAGACGCTGACTTTAGGACTTTTGCTGCACACCTGAAAGCACTTTCATTATCAGGGAATAGACTTTATCATATACCTCATGAAGCTTTTAAAAATTTAAGACAATTGGCCCATCTTAATTTAGGGTATAATCAAATATCTGAGATAAACTCAAACGACTTCGATGGCTGGGGCGCTCATTTAGATACGCTACTCCTTATGAACAATCGAATATCGTACCTAAGCAACTATCTTTTCCGGCACACACAAAGTCTGCGAGAACTCAGTCTGTCGTTCAATCAAATCCAAGATATGGAACCTCATGCGTTCATCGACGTTGCTAGAACATTAGAGAGTTTGGAAATAAGCTTTGGTCTCATTGGGGAAGAATTCCCTGAGGATGCTTTAAGACCTTTGAGTTCCCTTCTGTGGCTCTCAGTTGACAACAACAACATTAGAGAAATGCATAGGACATCATTGTATACATTTGGAAACCTTAAATATCTCAATTTAGACTTCAACCGGATTTCTTACCTCCCAGAAGGTATGTTCAACTCTCTTATACACACACATCTTAGAGACCTCAGAATTGCGTACAACCTTCTAACAAAAATTGGGACCGAAACGTTTTCTTCGCTGTCGGCTTTGCAAACAGTTGTACTGACTGGGAACTACATAAGGTATATTGACCAGAAGGCTTTCAAAGAGTTGCCGAATTTACTAACCGTGTTACTCACTAACAATAATCTTGTTAAGATTTCGCCACAAGCGTTTTTCAACGCTCCAAAGCTTTTAAGACTGGATTTGCAACAAAACGATTTGCGATACTTTACATTCGATGCTTTTATCAATACGTCTATATTCCATCCGATGACTTTGAACATATCTCATAATAGGATCACAGACGTTTATTGTACCTATAAGAAACCTTTTATGAAGTTGAAGTCGTTAGATTTGTCTCACAACGCAATTCAAGACATCCCTAGTGAACTGCTTCAACTTTTAAGTGGGTATTTAAGAACACTGTATTTAGGCAATAATAAAATAGGAGGTTTGAGTCCTAACGTCTTCAATAACTTATCCCTTCAGGTGTTGACGTTGAATCACAACAATATCGACGAGTTACGCCGAGGAACTTTTTTTGGTCTGCACGAACTGCAGATCTTAAATTTATCGTTTAACAAAATAAAATTCCTTCAATCAGGTTTATTCTCTAACCTAACTCGCCTTAGAGTACTCCGTCTCGCTCACAACCATTTGAAATCAGTGACAGCGAAAATGTTTGAGAACACCGTGTTAGAAAAGCTAGATCTATCCCACAACGAGATCTTACACGTACCTGACTTAGAAAATGTGAAATCCACAATGAGAGAATTAGACTTGTCTTTCAACTATTTGGAGTATCTGGAAAACAACGTGTTTCGGAAGATTCCGTACTTGACGACGCTCAATCTTTGTAATAACCGGCTAACGATTTTGCCAACGAATGTGTTTAGTGGACTTAACAATTTGCTCAATCTTAGAATATGTTCGAATCCCCTCAGAGTTAAATATAGGGACTTGTTTAACTTTACTCCTGCGTTGAGGAGGCTGGACTTGTCTTCGGTGTCGCTGACGAGTGTTCCTCCGTTGAAACTTCCTCTTCTGGTTCAGCTTAACCTCACGGACAACCTCATCCAAGAGTTTCCTCCCACCAGTGGTGACGGACTGCCCAGGCTGCGGACTTTACTGCTGAAGGCCAATCATTTAAGTGAGATTCCTCAACAAGTGTGGTACAGGCTGCCGCTGCTCAAAGAACTGGACCTGTCCACCAACCCCATTAAGGTATGTGAATCCAGACTGTAACAACCCCCTACGTTTTAAATTTAAGTGATTTTATTTCTATACAACAAATTTATAAATATTCAATTGTGATAAATACGAGTCAAAAAAGCTGATTTAGAAAACGTGTATGAAAAATAGTATAAAAGTTAATAAAATATAACCTTATTATGACCTCAATAGTTACCCCAGATCTCGCTTTGCTCATCCATGACGACCCCCTCACATTACACTTGATTGAACAGTTGGTGTGAACAGAGTTTAGGAGTACCATCAGCATATATTCCGAAATTGATTGATCACACCGGGTTAGTTCCCTGCCTTGCAACAGATAAAACACTGCAACATACAGGTATTCTATGTTATAAAAACTGTATACAAAAAGAAATATTGTATTCATCAATAAAGTGCAAATACCTTACATATAAAACACCTACACGATTAATGAACTCTAAGGTAATCTCTCTTTCCAGGTAATCAACAGCACCAGTTTGTCCGGGCTGCGCCACCTGGAGTCTCTAGTACTGACGGATCTACCGGATCTAGAGAGGGTGGACTCCGGAAGTCTCTCGGTGCTGCCCTCCTTGATGACCCTCCATGTCTCAAGCTGACCATGGCCACTCACAGAGACGCTGAACATCCAGTCCTTGACATTGGAGATTCTGGAGACAGAACTGTCCACCCAGCTTCACAACATCAGTCTGCCGAGGCTCAACTACTTGCAGATATCTGGCAGGTTTGAATATTTTCCGTCTCTAGTATGTATTTAAAGTGGTAGGGGTTAAGGTCCTATAGCTCAAATCCTGCCAATCACAGATGAATTGTATCTCAGTGATATTGCCACAGCCCTCTTGGCTTAGGCATAAATATGTGCGAATCCGTTCTTTGGTTGAAACCTAGCACCCTTGTATGTGAAGTGAGGCAAAGAATGTGTATGCAAATTGTTCCTGGAAGGACAGGTAATTTATATACAGGGTTGTTGATGAGTGAGACGTAGAATAAAAAATAAGTTAAAATCTACTAGAACTACTACTACAAATACTTTAAGTTAAAACTCAAAACTACATAATATGCATTAGGACTATCAAAGTATTTTGTAGTAACAAAGTTCCGGCTCAAATACAGCAAATCGCCAATGGATTTGATCCAAGTGGTAATGCCACAACCCATAAGGCCTACCTAATGTGTAACTGGATCCAGGCTATAGCTTACCGTCTTAGGACGTGAATGACAAAATAAAAAACTCTGATAAAGTTAACTGCACCAACTGTTCTAGGTTGACCAGGGTACGCAGAGATGCGTTCCAGACTCTAGCCGTGAACCGTCATTCTCTTCACCTCGGTGTTGTCGGAACCCTGTTGGATGACCTTCCAGTCGGTGTGTTCGCCCCCTTGGCCTCATTGTCGCAGCTGTCTGTCGATCTAAGGGGGAACCGCCTCTCATCCCTAAGTCCTGCCGTGATCTACACCAACGCTACAGATTGGCAGCTGATGGGAACTAGAGTGGCTAGCGGTAGGTTAAAAAAAAACAAATGTCTGCATACAGAAATACATCCCAAGTGCACTCGTTGTTGCGAACTTCAACAACTTCCGAGTGATGTCGTGGGGTTTGGGGAAAGGTACTTATCACTAAATTCTGACTGGGACGGTGGCGTCGTCCTGTAATCCAACTACTAGGTCGCGAATTTCGGATATTTATAGGCATGCACTGTGGATGCGATACTCCCTGGTGTGGATACGTCGTAGTGAGTACTACGACTATCCGCAGAACTATCTTGATAACTAGACCAACTCGTTAATTACAAGGCAAACATGTGGTTTGGACTATAAACTGTATGTCCCTTAGTTGCCATTGGCTGTATGGGCTATTAATTAACAGCTGTGTCTAAAGAATATGTCGGCCATAGTAACTAGACTACAAGATCACGCCACTTTTCCTACACTCTTCCCCATTCATACTTGGCCTAAAATGCATACATTCGTATGGTCGCCATTTCAAATTACAGTATAAAGTATTCCATATAGTTCACCCTTGTGAAGTGCAAACTTCGCCCTTGCTTTGATGGATACGTTCCACCATTGACTATATACCATGGATATAGTATATAGTCAATGGTTCCACGCAGCCGAGACCTATATGGACGGGCAAATTAAAGATTCTGGCCACCAACCTTCTTACAAACTATTGCTGTGTAATTTACGCCCATCAGTTTTACGTTACCCTACTAACGAATTGTTAATAAGTAGTATGTTTCATTTTAAGTGTTTGTGTCAATAGGCCCTAATAGAATGTCAAATATAGAATTGACAAACCGGAGGAAAATGAACTTTGAATAGTTTTGACACATTTTGATAACAGAAAATAATAACCACTTTCACTAGGCTAGTTAGTATTTTTTTTCACACACAGTTCGTTTACTCCCACTGAGTGAATTTATCTCAAATTAAGGTTAGAATTAAAACAACGGAAATTCGTCCTCTTTAAAATATTGTTTGTGGTAAGCTGTTGTTTTGGAACAGCTTAAAGCTAAATACATCCTCCACTGTCTACTTACCTCTTGTCCCATAAATACAAGTGGAGTATAATGAGTTGGTCACTCGAGGGGTTTATTAACATAAACACGAAAGATATTTGTTCATTTAATTAAAATATTGTTGTAAATGAATTAATTATAAACAACGATTTATTACTGGATTTATTCGATTTATTACTGGAACAATTTGTCTGGATTTTGTTTATAATTATATAAAATATAATTAACTTATTAATGTACCTAAAATTATCAAGATGCCTTCACACAATTTTATAGATCACTATATATAATGGTAGGTTTGAAAAATTAGACAAAACTATCTTTATATTCTGTATTATCAAATTCAATAATAATCAAAGTACTCATTTGGTAGACAAGTATTACTATGTGTGAATTAAAAAAAATTCTGAAGGAAAGTAAATAGAGTTTAATTTTAAATAAAAAAATGTAATACTTACAACCTTAATTTTTTTTTATCTTTAATCCTTTAAATTGTCCAAAGTTTGAGCTGGTACAGTACAAGGGTTAACTGTACTAATAAAAAGTAGTGGCAGGTACCAGGAACCGAACCTCTGACAATGCTGCCTTGGGCCCAAAGTCTGTGGCGCTACCATTTATCTCTATTTTGCACTACTGACTCACCAATGGTATCAAAATACATTATTACATTACACAAAATGTATTATCTTGCTATGGTTTATGCAGCAGCTGGTGTTAACATTGCAGTCACTGATTAGCTATTCCATATTAAACTAAATAAAATTTCCTGGAAACTTCTTTCCCATTATACCTTCTTTTGTATAGAATTATTATTAAGTTAGCTATTAGCTTAACTAAGGGTGTGATTCAGATATATACAGTTTACTTAACTATTTTCTTCACTACAACTAAGGCTGTGTACATATACTTAAGTAAATGGGGAGTTTCTCATACTTAAGTTTTGCCTCTCAATACAGGAGGACTCATGTTAAGTGACAACCCCTGGGTCTGTGACTGCGGCATGGCCTGGCTGGGTATGTGGCAGAGAAGATGGCTGAGGGAGACTCTACAGTTGCACACAGCGCCGCTAGATGTTGCGCAACATGTGCTGGTGACGTCACGGGAGCCAGTCTGTACTGAACCGTCCACTGGTAGACAGGTAAGGAACGTTGTGATGTATGTATATGTACACTACAACTGAACTAAACACCTCTAGATGTCGCACAACATGTGCTGGTGACGTCACGGGAGCCAGTCTGTACTGAACCGTCCACTGGTAGACAGGTAAGGAACGTTGTGATGTATGTATATGTACACTACAACTGAACTAAGCACCTCTAGATGTCGCACAACATGTGCTGGTGACGTCACGGGAGCCAGTCTGTACTGAACCGTCTACTGGTAGACAGATAAGGAACGTTGTGATGTATGTATATGTACACTACAACTGAACTAAGCACCTCTAGATGTCGCACAACATGTGCTGGTGACGTCACGGGAGCCAGTCTGTACTGAACCGTCCACTGGTAGACAGGTAAGGAACGTCGTGATGTATGTATATGTACACTACAACTGAACTAAGCACCTCTAGATGTCGCACAACATGTGCTGGTGACGTCACGGGAGCCAGTCTGTACTGAACCGTCCACTGGTAGACAGGTAAGGAACGTTGTGATGTATGTATATGTACACTACAACTGAACTAAGCACCTCTAGATGTCTCACAACATGTGCTGGTGACGTCACGGGAGCCAGTCTGTACTGAACCGTCCACTGGTAGACAGGTAAGGAACGTTGTGATGTATGTATATGTACACTACAACTGAACTAAGCACCTCTAGATGTCGCACAACATGTGCTGGTGACGTCACGGGAGCCAGTCTGTACTGAACCGTCTACTGGTAGACAGGTAAGGAATTTCGTACTGTGTTAAATAGATCATGCAAGTGGGATTAGGTAATTCAAATTAAAGTTGTTCACTAGTAGAATACAATGCCGAAAATTTAAACTCAAACGGACAACTGAGTCAAAAATGGCAGCCGTTCAAAGATTTCTTGAATCTGTCATTTTGAATCTTAGGACGGCTGCCATTTTATACTCAGTATTTTTTTTAAGCTCAAATTTGTGTCATTATATTCTGCTATTAAGAACCTGTAGTTTTATGTACATATCTACCTAAGCATTTGTTTATGACTTTCTTCCAACTTCTAGAGGGTGTCCCCCTGAGGAGGTAACGTATAGTAGCAATGCAAATTCAGTGCATCTTTGAATAGCTGTGATTTTTGACTTGGTTGTCCGTTTGAGTTCGGGTTTGTAGTATTGTATTTTACTAACAAAAACCTTTAATTTGATGTGCATATCAACCTATGCTTACGTATAGGTGTTTCTTCAAACTCCTAGCGGACCATCCCCCTGAAGAGGTAGTACATATTTGAATAACGTGTTGGAATGATCTTAAAGCCCAGTAACTGTGTACCAAGCTCTGAAGCTCTATCTTTATTACTTTTTTAAATATTTAACCATCCCTGGACTTTTCGTCCACCCTGTATACAAAATATTTTTTGTTAAAAAATAGTATCATATTCCGTAAGGAAATTGTTGATCACAATTCAGTACCATACTTCTAATACAATGAGGTAGATGTGTTTACTCCAATTTTTATTATAGTGTATTTTTTAAGTAATTAAAATCTAATACCGTTTAAGATAAATTTGTTTGTAGAAAATGTTGTACCCAAACATTGATAACGTGATAACAATGTTTTTTTAGGTGCCGATCCTTAGCTTATACCCAAGCTGCCAGGCCAGTGCTCTGAGTCAGGCTCCGCTTTCAAAAGTCTCATTGCTGTCTACGACTGCCCTGATTTCAACTACTCTCATTCTTTCTGTGACAGTTATGGGTCCCAACGGAGGCCATTGAAACATCACTGATCACGCCAAAGACTGCCATTGATGTCTTACACCTCAGAATAATGGCCTAACGGTTAGGACTTTATTCTGTGCTTGCACCGTCCTGCTATCAGTGACTTTTTATTATTTTCATATTATAGTTGAAATAAAATCAATTAAACGACTTTGTGAACAAAAAAGGTTGAAGACTCATGGTGTTGATGTGAGTGATTTTCTAAATCTAGAGTCAAAACTTGAGGGATGGTCAATGCAAGACCACATTTTTACGAGGGATTCCAACCCTTACGTTCATTTGACACTACTGTTAAGCTCACTATAGAAACTGTTGGTTGTATTTGTAACATAATATAGTATAATGACATTGTTTGTATATACTGTGTACATTCTGGTGTAATGAAGTGTAAATAAAATTTGTAATAATTGTTGTTGACTTATTTAATATTTTTGACAAAGTCGATTTTATCTTGCTATCGTAGTATTTGTCTTGTGAGGTTTTTACCTTATGCTCATAAAATCTAATAACTTATTAGGAATCTATTAAACTTATTATAAGAACTGATTTAAAATTAATAAACATATTTCACACTGACATAAATTTGCGACATCCAATATCTTACTAATATTATAAATGTGAATAAATAGTATTTTCAAGACGAGCTATCCAAGTTTTCCTAAATAGAAACTTACAGTTAAAAATATAAGAACAAAATCATGTAAATTTCCAAATTATACATTTTTTTAAGAAATCTTACAGTTCTTCAAACCAGAGTTCTCGCCAAGAAGATGTCAAACATAAACCTGGTTTTAGTAAATGTTATGAATTTAAATATTTGTATGTACGAGATATTTAATAGGAGATAAACGTAGATGCAATTGTTAATTTTAAAAAGTAGTTTGGCCTTGGTTAAGAAACTTAAAGTAAACCTACTAGTAGTAAAGAAACGCCAATATAGAAAGATGATACACTGAATATTGGTTATGTTTTAAAAAGAAATACCCCCGCCACAGCAAACCTGCAGACTAAGCGAATTTCAACTTGTCTGATTACATGATAATCCTATGAGGTTAAATTAAACGACAAAATTGAGTAAATGTTTATTTTAATAACTCTTTAACATCAAATACATAAATTAGTGCAAATAACCCTTCACATAACTCCATAGCTTGAATGTAAGCAAGTATAGCAATTCAAAGATAACTAAAACATTGAAACCGTTGAAAACTGCAACTATACCAATAGCATACGCCATGAACTGAGTCAGGCTGTTGGTACTGACTCGGATCTTTGAGTCGTAGAATTTAGTTCGCTTGAATCGGAAATATAAATTTGGTAAATCAGATGGGTTTTCTTCCAAAAAATCCTCTTCGAAATCATAAGTCAAAGAGTTGCAATCTGGCAAACAACCGCAGTCACACATCAATTGAAGGCATTTTTTCAAGCAAACTTTTACAGAACTGTTGTGTCTAGGCAAGTAATACGGTACACAGTCATACTCTAAGAGTGAACAGTTTGCTTTACATTCTGCCTCACATTTCATCTGACTGTAATGTTTAAACATTGACAGCGGCTTCTCATGCGTAAAGTAACACCCTCTAACAGATGGATCATACTGCTCAAGGCCGCTCTCTGAAGTAACAATGTTGGGAATAATAGATATACTTTTGGAGGTAATGTCTTTCACTGTAATATGGTTTCTAATGGTGAAGGGGATTTCCAGTGGGTTGTGGATGTTAATGTAGCTTTGTGTTTTGCCATTAGTTAGACATGACTCAGAACCTTCATTGGTTATTATGTAATTCCTTGCGCTAATAATTGAAGTCCAATCGTGCTCAGTCATATATACTGGCGTCGTATTAATGTTCCCTCCGAAATATATCATATTGTCTAAATTCATGTCTTTTCCTAGGTAATCAAAACCAGGTGAAGAATACCGTTTCATCGGGACGGAAGTAACAACATTATCCTTATAAATATCCTCGTGGTGGAGACCATTAATAGTAAAACACAAACCCAAGGGTGATAACCACTTTTGGCATTCGTTTTTGTCGCATCCTAACTTTGCAAATCCAGCACCATAATAAAATATGTCAACATCATGGAGTTTAAAAATATGTCTGAAGTGGGTTGAAAAATGTTCGTGTCTAATAGACCATCCCATCCACAATTTCTTATTTGCCACAAGGTCCGGACAAATCGCAAAAGAAACCTTTAGAGTCATCCTCTCATCGATGCTACATTCTTCATTGAAATCACATTCCTCATTGTTGCCACAAATAAAACATCTTGCCAGAATCCCTGAGTAGTTGAAGTTGCTATTAAGAGTCAGTGGGTAGCAAACGGTTATCGCGGGAAATGGAACTTCGTTGACATAAGTTACGTTGGTTGAAAATACTTTTAAAGCGGGCGAGCTTTGCCAATTGTCATACTCCATCTTGATAAGAGACAAACTTGATAATAAAGCAACAATGTGAACCATCAACCACAAGCAAATGTGACACCAAGACTGGTTCTTCCCTACGAGAAACTTCATGCCTGGTAGACTCAATGACTGAACCAACTCTTGAAAGTACAAGTGCGGGGAATATTTACCATTAGGCAGTGAATGATCAAACTCTTCAATATGAACCCATGTAGTTTGGTTAATCATTTCTGATTCAACCTGGCTTGTAGGGTCGAGTCCTGCAGTGTTTTGAGATGGAAGGTGTTCCAATCTTGACAAAACCTTTTTCATGTCATCTTCTTGTTGATTCATCCTTATCATTATCTCTTCATTAAATGTTCTTTGCTCTTGGTTTACTTCGGATGTTGTTTTGGTGTCAATCTTAAGAAACGTAGAGATATGTCTTATTTTGTCTATATACAAGTGCAGGGAATAGTTACCATCACGCAGTGAATGATCATTCTCATCAATATTAACCGTTGTAGTTTGGTCAATGATTTCCAATTTGACTTGGCTTGTAGATTCAAGTCCTGCAGTGTTTTGAGACAGCAGGGGTTCCAATCTTGACAAAATATCTTTTATATCATCTTCTTGTTGTATCAACCTTCTGATTATTTCTTCAATTACATTTTGTTGATCTTTGTTTACTTCAGGTGTAGTTGGGATGTCCATCTTAAAAAACGTAGAAATTTGTCTTGTTTTGTCTATATAAAAAATACCTTTATTGGATCTTAAATGAAATACTAACGTCGTTTCCTCGAACAAACTCGTCTTTATTAACAGAAAGCTTGTTACATTATGCTGGTACTCTGCACAATATGACCTTCTAGTCTGTAATAAGGCTTTTAATTACAGCCACGCCTATTTAAATTATTGATTTGACGTGTATGGACAAACCTATTATATTACAACACATTGCACTGCATTTCATACACACCCTTGAAGAACTAAGTTAATCGTGACCTAATTAAATTACATTAAATATTTAAGATTAATTTGATATTATTAACAATATTTATGAATTCTAACTATTGTGAATAATATGTTAAGTGTTTGGAAATAAGAATTTACTAGACACATCCTTTACACTTATAGGCTAACAAAGGTATTTATTTGACGTTGAAAGTGATTGCAAAACCAAGGCGGACACGGAAATGCGTTTTTAAGATTTCGCAACAAATCGTTTTCACACTTCATCATAAAAAGTATTAGGCTATAAAGGTTATGGTTTCCCAAGAAGAGAATATTTTAGTACTTTTTTATAAGATTTTGACCATAATATATCGTGTAAGGATTGGTAGAGGGAGGGTTGTGTTTAATTAGTGTTTCACAACCTTGAACGTGAGACACATTCAACAATCCCGTACACTCTGTGGTGAAGGTTGGTTATCCTTATGCAAGTAAATTGATTTATTGAAGCATTTCGTTTTTGAAAAAGCAATACCAGGATAGGACAGGTCTAACAATAATAATAACAAAAACAATAATGATATTAATAATAATAATAACAATAATAAGAACACTAAGGCTTTCGTACAGAAGAATTGGATTCGAATCCTGCCACTCACCAATTCTTTATTCGCTATTTAATTTCATAGCCTGTATAAATTAATACATCTTTATTTATTCAGAGCCTATGCAAACTGCAGGGTTACTGAGGCTTTTAGGCACGAAAAGTGTATGTCTTTAAAACGTATGTCAGCAAACATTTAATGAAGTAAAGGAAACCGGGCTGAGAGGCTATGAGCTATTTTTTTTGTAAACAGTGACAGGTTTTAATTGTAATTTGGGTTGCGTAAAAAAACCCTTATAAGTAGCTGGTTTGAATGGATATTTTTAAAATCTCTATTAGTAAAAGGGTTGCTCTTATTTAAATTTTGTTCTTTATGCTCTGCTAATACGTTAGACTCTATCAATGTACAAGCGATACAAATATAATACATGTATAAAGAAATAGTCTATCTATTTATCTGCCTAGATCACCACAAAAAGTTGTAATGGACATCAATTGAAAATAACACAGTAGCAAATGAAATATTTAACTATTGATTGTTAAAATTATAAATCTGATACTCTAATTAACAACAATACCAACAAACAGCCATGGTATATTTACATTCTTGTCCATAGTTCAACATATCGACGGTATAATGTAGTACAAGACAATCTAGGCAAAATGATTGAATCACTTACCAAACAGCTGTTTGTTTGCAGTAGTAACTTTGAAAACAATTTGGAAGTTGTTTTGAAGATTATTTTTTTTAAAGAATTTCAATCTTCTATCTTAGTTTTCTTAAAACGTGTGCAATGTGACGGAAAATATGGCTGTTCATCTCACGGGCAAATGTGTCTTTTCTACCCTCGCTCATTTACGTGATAGTTGAACTCAGCTCGGAAAGACTCACTTTACGCCCTAGTGATGAAATATTATACTACTAAAGCTCACCGGTCTAAACTGTTTAATTGATATCAAAATGGTAAAATAATTTAGGAATTTTAGAACCAACGGTATTTTAGTGTTATAATTAATCTTATCCTTAGCTTTTTAATTCGCATATGGAAGATTCTTTTGGAAAATCAAACAAATAAATACCTATATAATCCTATTAGGATAAATTAAATGACAATATTGAGAAAATATTTATTTGAATAACTCTTTTTACATCCAATGCATCAATTAGTGCTAATAGCCCTTGACATAACTCCATAGCTTGAATGTAAGCAAGTATAGCAATTCAAAGATAACTAAGACATTGAATCCGTTGAAAAGTGCAACAATACCAATAGAATACGCCATGAACTGAGTCAGGCTGTTGGTATTGACTCTGATCTTGGAGTCGTAGAATCTATTTTGTTTAAAGTAGACTTCGATATTTAGTACAAAATGTTCGAAAACATCAGTCTCTTCAAAATCATAAGACAAAGAGTTGCAATCTGGCAAACAACTGCAGTCACACTTTAGAGGGTTGCGACGGTTCAAGCA